TTGACTCTCGGAGGAACCACAAACTTGATGAACTAGACAAGAACTAGAAATCCCATAATTGTTCTCAACACTGATGTTGAGTACCTTTTAGTAATTTTGAGCCGTTTGGTGATTGCTCTTTCAAATGTATTTTCAGAGTAACACGACTGAAAGGTTTTTGACAAATCTAAATCTCCTATGGCACCCATGTTGTCTGTGATGGTGAAGCAGCTGCTTGGGTCTTTGACCTAGAAAGAAAGGAAACACTGTGACAAAGACGATAACAATAACATAAATATTCACAATGTCAAGACAGATTATTTCCTCCTCCAGTAGCAGACAGGAAAATCAAAAACAATTTTAACGTTCCGTGGAGACACATAAGCAAGCAATCACGATCATTTCTTCCAACGTCTAGAAAGCCTACATTAAAAATGAGTTTCTTTAGTCCACTTCAAGTCCGTATTCACATCGTGTGCCCCCAATCAAGGTAAACACAATGATGGTGCACTTTGTAGGACGTCACCTCTTTGCAGAAGAGCATGTCTTGATTAGCATATTGTCATTTAAAAGCAGATTAAGATTTTCATTAATTCACTCAGACACACAGAACAATAATGGCAGTAATCAGCCTGGCTTTCATTATGACTGCTGTGTGTACTGTCAGGGATTGAAAGTCGTTTTCATGTCTTTATTGTACTTTCAGGATGTACTGATACAATAAAGTACCATTAACTGAGATAACTACACCCGAATATACTGTTTTTCTGTTTTGTGACCATGCTGCATATAGATAGTGTCCAAGTGCATTTTCGGTAGAATCGTCTACAACCAATGTATTATATACAAAATATTTATATACATAAAAACATAAAGAAATTACATTTCTAAATATACAAAATATATATGTTTTACTTGTTTTTACCTTCTTCGTCTCACAGCAATTTATTTACAGATTTCATATGTGCTTTGTTTGAATTACTTCACTTGCCAGTTAGTTTAAATAGCAAAAGAAAAGTCAAAGATCCAAAACGTTTGAACACTGGTGATGTCACATCAGTATGACACAGTGGTTAAAAAATTCATTATCAATGCCTCACCCCTATTTTAAATAAACCTTGCTAATTTAAGTGGGGAAAAAACTGAAGAGTTCTTGTCCAGCTGTGGTCTAAAAGAAGATGCTGAGATGTACATCAGCAGGCTTCTCAAATCTCAATCTCAATATCTGTCAGAAACACGGCAATTAGATATTTCCACCACTTGGCTCAGCCTTAACCACTGCCTGTCAGACTATGTTATTTCTCCGAGCAAATAGCTTATTGCTTTTTGACAGGAAGATAAAAGTTGCTTCTGCTCTCCCATACAAGCACACCTCTGCGCCACATGCATAAGTGTGGATAATGAGCAACTTAAACAGCAGGGAATAACGCTCTCTGCCTGAAATTTTTTTTACCAAAAGTGCGATGCCAAGATGAGCAGCTATT